ATGATTTTCCTTCCAATCATATATTAAGAGGCCTAGCGCTGAACATTTGAAGGTTTCATTAAAATATAATAAAGAAATGGAGTGGACATTGAGTGTTCTGCATTATCTATTTAAGATATGCCGCGCACCAAACGTAGATTCAAGCTTGTAGAAAGATTGGAATTGGACTTCTGCTCATACCATCTTTCTTGGGGTTATTTTGATGCGCAGGCTATCAGTCTCATAAACTCCTTCGAAAGTGACATTTGTAAAATATTAATTATTTAACTAGTTGGATCGCCCAGGCTCTCCTCTCCCGTTGGAGGATCGGCTGGCTCCGCCGGGTGTGGTTCACTAGGACAGAAAGCGACTTTTTCGCGTTTCGCAGCGCGAAACATTTTTCGCTGCGGGAACCTCGGGTCCACTGATTTTCGCTGCGGGAACCTCGGGTCCACTGATGATCAGCGGTGGACCTGAGGTTCCCGCAGCGAAAAATGTTTCGCGCTGCGAAACGCGAAAAAGTCGCTTTCTGTCCTAGTGAACCACACCCGCTCCGCCGGGCTACCACATTTCCACAGGTTAGGCAAGATACCTCCTGAAGCAACAATCTTAGGCCATAAAAAAGAACATGATCAAGTCATTTTTGGATATTGATCAGTAAAAATCCAAAAATTGTCGATTATTACGACAACATCAATGTCAGCGGTGATACTGTAACGTAAGCACTATGAAGCCGAGAAGGCAGGAAAACGCAAAGTACTCATTGGTGATAGTAACGGCTCCAAGTATATAAAAATGTACCTCTCGGCTATCTTGAAAAAATAGCGTTTATTTTTTTATCACCGAGTGTCAAAAGCTAACCCGACCGTCTAGTACGTTTTTTGAGTGCGTAGTGTGCCTGAAAGAAACCTCATGAACATATAGAAGTGATGGGGGGGGGGGGGAGGGGTAACCCCATGGGTATTAGGAAACAAAAGACAGTTTAGGAATGCTTAAGTCGAGATATACAGGTATTATCAGAATGAAGACATTCTGTTGAAAAATACCTCATCACGACTGTAGACCCTACCCTCGAGAGCAGTTGCTCGATCTTTCCTTCCACCCGCTTCCTCCTTCTGCCCAGCCCCTCAGCTGCCACGGCAGCACCTTGTGGAATGAGGCTGAGCTTGCTCGATAGGTGTTTATATAGCCGTGTGGTGTTATCATAATCATGACATCAACATCACGAAGTGTACCTTTGAGCTCTCCAGTTCTACTAGCGGTTGGTCCGGATGGACAAAACGACATACTCACAGACAAACCGACACACTAAAGTTTTGGCTTATATAATGAAGTGATAATGTTTCTGAGTGATTCGAAACGCTTTTTTGCCCCTTGAAAACGGCAACTTTGTCAAAACATGAGAATAAATAAGTATTCCACCATACAAGACTGTTTGGCGCAGAGGCCGCGTTCATAGTTCGCGAATCCTGAGATTAGGATAGTACGCGACAATGAAAAACATATGTATTGACGGGGAGATTAGGATAGTAGTAGATTAGGATAGTGCGCTGACAAGATTAGATATGTATTGATCTATTCGCTTGAAGTCGCCCAATCTACTACTCTCCAGCGATTTCAATCGATACGTATCCAATCTTGTCAGCGCAATCTCCTACTCTACTACTATCCTAATATCCTGTCGCCTACTATCCTAATCTCCCGAGTCGCGAACTATGAACGCGGCCTAACCTTCTCCAAAAGCATTTGACATCATTCCGTAGTGTTATCTGCCCAAGCGATTCAGAAAGTGCTGAAAAGTGGCAGAAGATTAGGGAAAACGCTACTACCCTGTCAGGACCAAGTATGAGTCGCTCCAGCAATGTTGCGAGTCCTCTCTAACCTTATTCAACATTGGCAAATCATTGCCGTTGAGCATTTCCCACCCCATTTGAGATTTCGACAAGGAATCGCTATCCTAGTACACTATTTCAACCTGTTACTCTAGTTAGCTGACTCCCCAATCCCTTCTAATTCGCTTATTTCAGGTTCTATCATCTCGATACCTGCTTTTGCCCACTGAATGACGAACTCGCGCTGTGGTATCCGAAAGCGTTTGATCCAGTCTGTCAGCATAATTTGGCTAACTACGTTGAATTGTTACCGGTACGTAGCTGGCATGACTTGGTCGTCGCGAACTTTTTCGCTTCTCTTCATATTTCATGCTTTTCAATAGATGTCAGTCAATCCACTGCGAATTCAGAACAAAAACTGGGCAAAGCCACGGCTAACTGGCAAATTTCCATAGCTCGATCCCCCTGAAATGCTATTCCCTCAGTTTTTCTTCACCATTAACGGGTGGTCTTGCAACAACTAGAGGCACGACTGACCTGTTATTAGGATCTATTCAAAAGATATCGCAGGCTGAAAGTGGCTCGGGTCGCAGCACCAAATGCGTCAAGAACAGCTACTGAAACCACCTGAAAGTCATTTCCGAGGCCAAGCGAGGCCAAACCAATTCACACACAAGCCAAATTCTCAATGGAGTAGAACACCTGCCGCTTTCTGGAAAGAATTGATCATCGCTGTGTTTTATTCAAAGGCACTACTCAAGCAAAAGTCGTATGAACGATTTTCTTTGATCTATAAGATACCCTCAGAGAAGAATCACAGATGTGGCACTCCCGTGCATGGAAATCACCGACAAGGGCGCTAGGGCCTTGCAAAGTTAGCTGCAGCAGCTGCAATGTTTTTTCCAGCAGGCTGTTGTCTGGCGCCCTCTCATCTGTTGCGCTCTCTCGCCTCATACTCTCCTCTCGCGCTCAGTCTCTCATTGCGTTAGCGCAGCCGTATTACGAAGTGAGTAAGCCCCCAACCTGGGTGAAAAATTCTTTTCCTTTCTTCCCAATTAGCACTAATACTTTCATATTCATATAGTTGTGTGCAAGCTCCACACCAGTTCGATTCTGGGGCATGCCTTTAACCTTATGGATGACTTGCGTTCAGAATCGCGAATGAATATGGAAGAATATTTATAGCCTACATTATACCTTGCGTGGTACGCTGTTAAACCACGTCATTCTTCAAGTAGTGGTCCTATCCTTACATAGCTTAAGCCAACAACTGGAGTTCTGAGCCATAGCTTGCCGGTAAAGACGAATCTCCTAGGTTGTGTCACCGCAGCTGCTGTGAGTAGTTTGGCTTCCAGCCCATACCATGATTAACTGCAAAATTGCTCGCCAAAAATGTGCTGCAAACTTAAAAACTCATGGATCTCATCTTTTCACTTTACCTAGTTGGTAATCGTTTTCTACAATGTATCCGAGCAAACTAGTTGGTACAATCGAACACGTTCCTCTTCCTGAAACAATCAGAATAGTAGTATAATAGTGCTCACAAAAACCAACTACTTATTGCTGCGAATGCATCGCTCACGTTTCAATGGAACTCTTTTTGCACGCGGTGAATGGAATTCGTTCAGGTTCATGAGAACGAAGCGAAACAGTTTGCCTGCAATGCCGTTGTCATCGGTAAGAACGTGATAATGAACGAAGGAAGTGAACGAGTAGCAGCGGTTAGTGTATCGGCACTATTACAGTTCATATCTCGAAGTCTGATTGGGCGTGTCACCGGAAATGACGTGGCAGCCACCGCACTTGATAGATGTCGTGTGGATAAAATACTCCGCCAGATATCAGCAAAGCGTGTTGGAAGCAGCTTATCCGCGCAACTTCTATCAAGTGCGGTGGCTGCCACGTCATTTCCGGTGACACGCCCAGTTTTCTCCAGTGCTGTTCTTCGTTGCAGTTCGCAACGCGAACACCACCACAAGAATGCAAAGTTGTGGGTAAAATGTTAGGTATTGGAAGGATTCGAACCCACAGAATTTTAATTTCTGGCAACCGCGCTTACCATAGTGCTGCTATTGTCGGGAAGAGCACATTCAAGTTAGGATCACGTCCGAGAAGGGAATATTCTGCATAACTTAGCACTCTGATGATCGTGAAATTCAAATGAGTACAATGGAACAAATTGGGGGTTGAGTGAGAACGTGAATTTCGAAATGATCTATTAAGCCGATGTCGGACTTTGCGATTCGAGCGATTTGCGATTAGCGAATTGCGGATAGCTCGATTTGCTGTACGCGACGCGACCGCGGGCGATAGCGAATCGCTCGATTCTCAAAGTCTGACACCGGCCTTAAATGGCAAGGAAAGCGTATGCAACATTGCATAATCTACTAACGTGCTGTTGCTCTGCCGGTCTATGTCGTCCATCACCAAAATGAATAAACTAATCGCTAATAGAACTGAGGAGTCTACAGATCTTGGGGAATTACCAGAGCTGCCGATTACTGAAGCCGAAGGTTGAGCTTGGGTTTAGGCTTACGCTTAGGCTTAATTACACATTGGCTTATGCTTGAGCCTATGATTGGTTTAGGCTTAGTCCTGAAGCTTGCTTCTAGCAAATGAGTGCTATCTCAATTTTAGGTGACCTGAGCTGAGGAGGAGAACTGCAACGCACCCCAGGTCTTACGGTATTAATGCCCCGTGATCTCGTGAACAGGGCGAAAATCTCTCGAGGAGACGGCAACAGCTCGTCGAGGAATATTCGCCTGTTCACTCATGCTCTCCCGCGCCGATGTTCACTC